GAGGAGAGAGAGAGAGAGAGAGATGAGAGGAGAGAGAGAGAGAGAGAGAGAGAGAGAGAGAGAGAGGAGTGAGAACAGCTGATGTATGCAGCTGGATTTAACGGCTGCACTAGGAAGTGGTGGTTCTAGTTGCAAAGATGACGCGCTGCGGATGAGGAGCGCGCAGTTCTTGCGTTACGTTAGTCTCATTCATCTGCTCATGGTGATATTGACAGTACTGCGTACTCTGTGTTCATATTGAAGATATCCTTGAACGGAAGTGCGCTGATAAAAATCGCTCGGAATCTGTCAAATACTTGCGCTGTTGCTCAGCTTGCTTCGACCAAACGCGGACTCATTTTTTGACAGCTCTTTGCATTGTTTCTGCAAGCAGCCTGTGGTGGCATTTGCAGTGGTATGTATTTTTTTTTTTAAAGAAAAATCTGCCAGTGTGAGACCGTGCGTGGAACCCTAACCGTGTGAACCCCCATGAGGTTCCGATGCCAGCGGCACTACTGCGTGAGTTTCCTATTCTGCGAGCGTCCGTTGCCGGGCGGCCTGAACTCCTGGTGACAGCGGCCGCCCTCATCGCCAGATGGTCTGTGGAGAAGGTCAACACGCTCACCGAGGGTTACCTGCGGCCGGACCAGGTGACCCGCCCCCCGGTCACCGCGCGGCCGCCGACGGCCACGCCGCCCGGCCGTCACATGACCTACGAGCCACTGCCGACCCCGCTTGCCAGCCGCCGCCTGCTGTTGCCGCCAGGCGACGCTGCGGTCGCCGACCACGGCGGCGAAGAGGGCGCTAGTGTCGCGGACGAGGCTGGCGACGGGGCCGACTTCATGCTAGCAGAAGAGTGACTGCTGTCTTGATGGAGGTCTTCATTTACGGTTTTGAAGTTGATGAGCTATGGAAGTATGTCAGCGTTTTTATTTTTACATTAAGCGTTAAGCTGTAACGATAACTGATACTTAATGCTAAGCCGCAACGAGAATGGGCAGGTACTACGTACTTTACGAATGTAATTAATTTTAGACGGCTGAAGTCATATGCTCTTAAGATGCAGCTTATTACGGTGAAACGAACGCAATAAGTTCACTGCTGCCTTTGATTTAAAGTGTGATGATTTGTGCCGCGATGTTATTGTATGTTTCGTACTAGGCTGGTAGGTCAGGTTTTGCCAAAGCGATTGTAAATAAACAACGTCCATGCTTTCAGCATGAGCGCGAAGTCCTCTGAGGGAGAAAATGGAACGATGACATGAAACTGAATGGCCCCGAAGTTGGATGGAGCTGGGTAGCATAAAACGAAGACAATGAACCGAACTGCTAATCAATGTCACGCAGGCATCTGGACCGTCCATTACGTCCATTACGACATAGACTACGTTTCGCACGGAGGGGATGGGCAGGGGAGGGGTATGATGCCCGCAAAAACGTAACGAAGGAGGAGGGGTAGGTTTTAGACAGCGTAACGCTACGTTTAGGTGTAGTTGTAAATCAGTGGTAGCATCCTTAGGTACAAATCATAACCTTAAAGGTGGATACCATTGAATTTCTCACTTGCCTCGCATTTATTTTCCAAGTAGAGCCAAGTATTAGGGCTATTTCTTGGGACGTTACGCTCAAAAAGGCGTAACCAGGGGATGGGGCATCGCTTTGCGTAACCAGGTGGATGAGGGGTAAAAATGACAGCAACAAAAATGCGCGACGCAGTTTGTGGGCGACCCCTAAAGAGGCCGAAGGCATACAGCTGACCTGAGTTAGATGATAGCTCCAATCGTGTAACGAGCCAACGTTGTGTTACGATCCAGGTCATCCTGTTTCATAGTGTTTTAATGTCCATTTTGTCGGAAAATCGACCCCTTTTTATTGATCTTCTCCATCAAATTATGTGGCAATCGATTTGCCAAATAATGCATTGCAATGATGGTGATTTAAAACAAGCTTCGACGCCATCAGCCAGGATGACAGATAGGCAACGCAATGAAGCGTCAGCAGCTGAGTGTGCCGTGAAGCCCAAATGGCGAGCCGTTAAGCTCCACAATTCGCCATCACAAGAAAAGGCGGAAAAATGCTCGTTTATTTGCAGAAAGATGCAAGCACATTCGCAAGCTACCTTCATGCCATATTAAACATAACATATGTAGATTGTGACTAACCAGATAAAGTGAGAAACCTCGATAGCGCATGGAACGTACAAATGGCTACGCTTCCAGACTTTATTATTTCTAGTAGCCAGTTTACTTAAGTAGAATACATACAACATAGCAAATCAATAAAGTAAACTGATCCAGGTGACTTAAAATTGCACAAAATAGCAAGCATTTTGTTGTAGGGAAATCAGCAGTGTCTTTCCTGTTCTAAGTTTGGTTTGGTCGAATGCCACCAGCGGCAAGCCTTATCATGAGCTAGCTCTGATTTTGAAGCACCTCGATTTCAAACCAGGCAATAACTGACAACGCACGAGAAAGACGTAAGCAGGAAAGGTTTTGTAAATTTGTGGTACCGGCACGGCCACGTCTGCAATTCGAAAAATATTTTCTATTCTGAGTGAAACTATTAAAATGAGCGCTGGATTCTTTCAAAAGATGTCACGCTCTTTAGCCAATACTCAGCAGATACCGTAACACACCATGAACCAACCCTAGAAGTTAAACATTCTGTCTGTCCTAAATATACACTTCGTGAAGCATTACACAACCCTAAATTATCCAGCATCAGAATTTTCCCGAAACCTTTCACAACAGCTCTGCACGGGTCCATCGCATAGCAACAAAACACAGCCGTCTGTCAAATAAGTTCACGAATATCTATTTGTATGCATGAGCCTTCCACTCATTTTAAGCGTCTATCAAGATTGACTTTCAGATCATACACAGATATATAAATCAACCGAATTATATTTCGGAGTTGTTTTACAGGGCACATTGAGCTATCGGAAGGCATAGGCCTGATAGCAAGAGCAACATGAGCTCCTGGTATTTTGACATCATGAGTTCAGAGCCGTTTGCTAGCGTTTTTCGATCTCCGAGATAGCGTTATCAAGCAAACGTTGCTTGCAAGGTCAACTACCCGACCTCGGAAGCTTTGCTTATGATCGCTTTTGATCACGAGCACGGATTGTGGCCTTGAATATTGCCAATGTAACCAATGTTTGATTGAGAACGTCGCGGAGCCAATACCACCTGATATAATACAGGTAGATAGCTGCCAGCATAAAACTCTGAACTCACAACCCATAATGCCTCATAGTAGGAAAATTACGAGCTGCCGTCATCCGAAAGCGAAACCCCCGCCCAACCCCCAACGAGGGAGGGAAGGAGTAGTTCGTCCTCGTCCTTGGCAGTATGCCAAAAGGCACGTCATCCTAACAAATTCGATATGTCCAATGAACACTTTGAAAGCTACTGCTCTAGAGCTGTGGCTCATAGCCTATCGTATGGTTTTGAGAATCGCCCACGATAACGGGGTCTTCAATGCTTCCTCATGGGAAGAAGCCTTTCCAAAACACTCAAAAATAATGGCAAACGGGAATGACCCTTTGGCATGTTTGCAAAGGAGGCTATACTCCTACATCACCATTTCCAGTCAATCACTACAAGCTTAAAACGTAGTTAAATGAGCGAGTTTAACAAAAAAGTATTGCAACGTATCCTCATAAGCCTCAGCGTTGATCCCAACGCTGCTACCAAAACCCAACCATGAACGGGAAACACCGAGTCAGCCGGACATGGGACACACAGTGCCTGCTGAAGTTAAACACATTTCAAACAAAACAAGCGGCAACTGGCCATCGAGATGTCGCCAGTCGCCCTCGCAAAGTTTCACGCGTCGCGCAGCTTGGCTGCCGCTCGCTGTCCGTTCGCAAACCCGGCCGTGGCCGCATCCAGCATCTGGAGCGCCTGGGGAAATGAGACTCATCACAAAATTGCTGCATACAGGCCACAGTGGCATGTGACGTCATTGGAATTGTCGCCAGCTGACCCGTGGCATCGACGGTGA